CAACTGTAACTACTGATGCTTCTGATTATGGACTTGGGGCTGTCCTCACACAACTTCATGAGGACAACACAGAGAGGACTATTGCATTTGCTTCAAGGACACTAAGTAATGCTGAGAGAAAATATTCTACAGTTGAAAAAGAAGCACTTGCTTGTGTCTGGGCTACAGAAAAATGGAGAACTTACCTGTGGGGCCGCACGTTCAAGTTGCGCACAGACCACAGCCCTTGGACAACGTTGCTCACCACGAAAGGACTGGGAAGAGCAGGATATTGTATTGCTAGATGGTCTGCAAGACTACTTTCTTTCAATTATGAACTGGAATATAAGCCCAGTGCTGGGGTCTGGACTAGATGACCTCTCAGGATCCCTTCTAGACCTATATTGCTATGATTCTCACCCTTTGCTCATATAGGGACCATGGCCAGAAATCCCAGCCAAGTGGACAATGCTGGAGCCCACTGCTGTCCATGCTGGGACCATCTTGCTCCCTCCCTGTTTGACTGTGAGGCCACAGGGAGATCTGGCCCATCCCACCAGCATCAATGGCACTCACACAGCAGGGGCTGCTGGATGGTGACCCCAGCCACAGAGACAGAGCTGCACTGCAGGGTCGTGGCCAGCATGGTCCCTCCCACCTGCTTCTTACTGCCACCTGGGATCTCTTCCTCTACCACACTGCTGGAGCCCAGTCCCACCAACCTGCAAGTCCTAGCCCTGGGGCTGGGGTGAGACTGATCTGTGGGCTTAAGAGACACACAATACATACCCCTCTGCAGCTCCAGGGGAAGCTCTCACCCAGTCAAGACGCATTGCTGTCTAGTAGAGCAGAGAAGGAGAGGACTCCTGGGTCCTATTCATGGCCCTGACACTGCTTCCATGTGTGTCCCTACATGAATGGCTTTGATCCCTCTGTGCCTCAGTTCCCTGTCTGTTACACAGGGTGATGAGCATGGGGGCAGGACTTTGGGCACCAATATGTGAGGCTCTCTGAGATGCCAGAGCCAAGTGCTTCCCCCCGGAGAGCCCTGTATTGCCCCACATCATCATGGATTGAACATCATAACTAGCCTCCAGGTGGCTGGGGCTGACCAAGGGTCTTTCAGACGGGGAACTCCCTGCACGCCCCATCTGCTGGCTCTCTCCACACCACAGCCAAGGTCTGATCCAGCTGCCTTGATGTTAGATCCCCACAATGGCCATTGGGGTCTGCTCGCCAGGCTGGGGGTTAAAGAACAGGTGATGACTGAGGAGGAGGAGGTCCCTGTACTGAACTGGGAGGGCATGGGGCTGTTCCCTCCTGAACTTCTCCCTGCCCCACCCCAGCCTGGGCCTTGGAATGCCAGGTGGCCGCCTCTTATGTTGGTGCTTCTCCCATTCCAGCTCTCCTTGTCCCAGGGCCTCTGGATCACAAAGCCCATGCTGTGACTGGCCTGCCCCTTGGTGGAGTGTAGTGCTGACCTGATGCCAGTCTCAGAGGAGTTGGGGGACGGAGGTGAGCCCTAGCAACTCCCTCTGTGGGACTGACCAGCCCTCTCATGTCACTCTAGGGAACATCAGGTCCTGCCGGGAGCAGGATATTGCTCAGCGCCACAGCCAGCCAGGTCTCCTCCCCACCTGCCATTCTCAAGTCAGGCCCTGATGGGGGACCCACACGCCACCGGGCAGTCAGGATGACGCCCTTCTGGAGGATGGTGGGCAGCAAACCACTGGGAGCCTACTGCCGGCACGGCCTGGAGTGCAGCACCAAGATGTGCAGGTGAGTCTGGAGCTCCGGGGGAGCGCTACTATTCCGGCTCTGGGCTATCCACCCCACTCTGCTGGTGCCCCTCAATCCCAACCTGCAGCTCCCTGCTAACCCAGCCCTGGGCTCCCCACATGCACAGCTCTGCTGGTGCCTCTCAGTCCCGAGCCACAGCCCCCTTCTATTCCAGCCCTAGGTTCCCCCCAGCCCGCCAGCTCTGCCGGTGCCCCTCAGTCCTGAGCCCCCACCTCTCCCCGACTTGGGGGTGGTTGGAGCTGGGGACTGGGTTTGAGCCTGTTTCTATGGTTCACCCTTTTGAGATGGGGGCACTAATGGTGGGTGTGCAGGGGATGGAGATGAATTGGGGAGCAGAATGCGGGCATGCAATCAGGAGATCCCGCTGCCTAGAGTATGGGGGTGATGTACTCTCCCCCTAGGCTCACAGCTGTTTTGCCTCTCCAGGAACGGGCACTGTGCTCCCCCACAGTACGAATGCTGAAAGCTGGAAGCTGATGCAATCCCGGCTGGAGACAATGCTCCCCATCTACCCCCAGGCTCAGAGCATCTGCAGACTGGAGGCCATCAATACTTGCCCCTGGGGTGGGACTGTGAGACACATGATCCAGAGCCCTGCAATCACCACTTGGGGGCGAGGGCTCCAGCCTCCCCACACAGGTGGGAGTGTGTCCCAGTCTCCTCACATGCACCCTCGGTGAAGGGGAAAGTATTCATAGTTCCAGCGGGGGCCAATTCCAAGTCTGACCCAGCACCCCACCCCCACCCCCCAGCAGCAGCCATCTGGGGGGCTCCCATAGTGAAGCCTGCACAGACCCAAGCTGCTCGCAGGGACTGTTGTTGCTCCTGATATTGAATGGGGGCTGAGAGTGCAAGGATTACCCCAACAGGAGCTGGGAGACCAGACCCTTCCTGGCCCCAGCGTTGCTCTGTGCAAGGAAAATTGGGACTCTTAAAGGAGCCACATGCGCAAGCAGTTGCCACTCTATAGGGGCTGAGATCCCTCCTCAGAGCCAGCCCAACGGAAATGCCCCTCTGGCCCTACCCAGCAGAGAGATCCTTTTTGTGCCTTCATGCCAAGCCAAGAAAGCATCCCACCTTGGGGTCCCTCTCCTTCCCCAGGGGCTGGGCAGACTCCCAGCCTGCCCCTGGGGACAGGCTCTAGGTGCAGGCTGGAAGTCTACTGGGGGGATATCTTCCTGAGGTGGGGGTTCCCACACTCCCCCATTGCAAGGTGATGGGCAGCACCCAAACTGCCGCTGCAGGGACCCCAGGGTGGCACCTGGGGTAAACATGGACTTCTTACTGGAGAGCCCTGAATCCCCCAAGGCTCCTGGTTGGCTGTGTCACCTGCAGTGTGCTGGGTGCCCCAAGACTGCACCTCACAGACTGTTTGAACCTACGTTGCTTGCTCAAACAATAAATGCCTCTGGCCTGAAAGTTTGTGACTTCCTGACTCTTTCTGAAGGGAGCAGAAAGCATTCACTCCCTGGTTTCCCCAGCAATCCAACCCTGCAGCTGATCAGCTCTGGGCACCCCAGGCAGCTGTGCCTAGGAGCTGGGATGTGTTAGTCGCCATCAGGGCTGGGCAAATACCCATGTCCCCCAGTAGTCCCTTGGCTGCAAGCTGAGCTCCTTTGGCCTGTGTTCCCAGGGAACATGTGTTAGTAGGACCATTCTAACGCACATGTTTGTTGGCAGGGTGCGTGGGAACGGCAATGTGGAGAATATCAGCAGTCGGCAGAAGGCCAGTGCACGACCGCTTGGTTTTCACAAGCTCCCCCACAGCCAGTTAGGGACCCGGCCTCTGTGCTGTCTGAAGTGCAAACACTGTGGGTTGGCAGGCCCAGGCCATACCACTTTGAAGAGATAACTGAGCCAATAGCACCAGGTCCACTGATGTGGCTTAGATGAAAAGCCAAAGAAACATGTCCCAGGCCAACAGAGAAGCACCTGTGTTTTCTCTTTGCCAGCACATGGGCCTAGCTCCTTCCTGCACATGCAGGCTGGCTCTGTGCCAAGTGAGACAGGGATAGTTTCCTGCATGCAAGGCCTGATCCCGAGCAGTGCTGAACTCACCCCACGTGGCCTAAGTGTGCTCAGCAACAGTTCTTTGCCCAGTTCTAAAGGCACCGTGTCAACTTGGCCTGCTGCACTGCTCCAGGGACCAGGGCCAGCCTGGAAGAGGTGGAGTTGTGGCGCTTAGGGCAGCAGTAGTGTGCAAAGCATTGTGCACTGTAAGGTATAGCCACATGCTGGAGATGTGCCTGCCCAGCCCTGGGGAGAGGCTGATCTCAGGGGGTGCTGTTACTATAAGTGATGCTGCTATACAGCTGCCTTCCTCCTTGATCCTCTAACATGCTTTGCATGGCTTTCCATTGCAGAGATCCTGCCCCACATGGGACTGGGGCTCCTGCTTTGGGTCTCAATACATGCCCCAGGTTCCAACACCTCCCACAAGCCCACAGCAAAATTCAGATACAGGGGCCTGGTGGGGGGTGACCCTCCCCCCCCCATTCAGTACGGATGGCCTCCAGCCCAGAACAGATGCTGCCATAAGTTTGCTTCCCATCACTTGGCAGTAGGGTGTCAAGGCATCCGGTTTGCTGACTGGGCCGTTAAAAGTCCTGTCGGCGGCACAGCAGGGGCCCGGGGCTAAGGCAGGCTCCCTGCTAGCCCTAGCTCCACGCAGCTCCTGGAAGTGGCCGCCAGGTCCCTGCAGCCCCTAGACACACGGGCAGCCAGGGAGGCTCAGCATGCTGCCCTCGCCCCAAAGGCCAGCTCCGCAGCTCCCATTGGCCGGGAATCGCAACCAATGGGAGCTGCAGGGGTGGCGCCTGTGGCCGTGAGAGCAGCGTGTGGAACCTCCCTGGCTGCCCATGCATCTAGGGGCTGCAGGGACCTGGCAGCCACTTCCCAGGAGTCACGGCAATGCTGCCGGGACCCCCTACCCCAAACCCTCTCCTGCGCCCCAATCTCTTGCCCCACCCCAGGGTCCCCTCCCACATCCAAATTCCCTCCCAGAGCCCACCCCCCAACACTCCAACACCCTGTCCCAGCCCCCTCCTGCACCCCAAATCCCTCATCTCCAGCCCCACTCCAGAGCCTGCATCCCCAGCTGGAGTCCTCACCCCCCTCCCACACTCCAAACCCCTGCCCCAGCCTGGAGCCCTCTCCCGCACCCTGAACCCCTTATTTTTGGCCCCACCCCCCCAGCCCAAAGCCCAACCCCCTGTACCCCAACCCCCAGCCCGGAGCCCTCTCCTGCACCCCAAACCCCTCATCCTCAGCCCCACCCCAGAGCTAGGGTGACCAGATGTCCCGATTTTATAGGGACAGTCCTGATTTTTGGATCTTTTTCTTATATAGGTGCCTATTACCCCCCACTCCCGTCCCGATTTTTCACATTTGCTGTCTGGTCACCCTACCCAGAGCCCACAGCCAGAGCCCTCTCCCCCCGAACCCCAACTCCCTGCCCCAGCCCAGTGAAAATGAGTGAGGGTGGGGAATGGAGCGAGCGGGGCCGGGACCTCAGAGAAGGGGCGGGGCAGGGGTGTTTGATTTTGTGTGATTAGAAAGTTGGCAACGCTACTTGGCATTGGCAGGCTGGCACAAAACGGGGCCCAGGGCTCCAACCTGTAACTTCCCATTTGCCTGGTTCCAGTGCAAGGGCTGTGTTTGCTGTGCTCGCACTGCCACCTGGTGGCTGATCTCAGCAGGTTCAGCTCTAATCTATAAGTTTCAGAGTAGCAGCCGTGTTAGTCTGTATCCGCAAAAAGAACAGGAGTACTTGTGGCACCTTAGAGACTAACAAATTTATTAGAGCATAAGCTTTCGTGGACTACAGCCCACTTCTTCTGTATGCATCCGAAGAAGTGGGCTGTAGTCCACGAAAGTTTAT